CCGCAGTACTCCTCCAGCGCCGAGCAAACCACTCGTGCAGCTCCTGTGGAGAGAGCGGCTCTCGCCGAGACGAAGCACCCGGAGAACCTCCAGGCCCAGCACCGCCAGACACCACACGAGCAGGTCCAGCGGCCGCTAGCTCCGCACCTCCAGGCTCAGCAGCTCCAGACGTGGCACCCCCAGGCTTAGCAGCTCCTGACGTAGCACCCCAAGGCTCAGCACCCCCAGGCGCAGCACCCCCAGGCTCAGCACCCCCAGTCTCAGCACCCCCAGGCTCAGCACCCCAAGTCTCTGCACCCCCACGCTCAGCACCCCTAGGCTCAGTACCCACTCGCGTAGCACCCCTAGAGTCAGCACCCGCAGCAGTACCAGAGTCACCAGCAACCTCGACCGGCTCGAAAGCGTCTACCGGACACACCTGAAGGGGCAGGACCCTGAGGGGGGAGGGGGTCTACGGAGGGGGGACCTGGCACAAGGAAGAGGGGAGGCGGGGGGAGGGAAGGAGTGCAGTAGGGGAAGAGACGGTAGTAGGGCACCGACTCGTCAAACGTGACGTCCTGGGAGGACAGAACACGACAAGAGGAGGGGTGGTAGAACTGCCACCCTGGCGCGTCAGGGGGGAAGCCAAGGAAGACACAAGGAGCAGCACGAGGGGACAGCTTGTCCGCAGACAAGTCGCGGACAAACGCCCGAGATCCCCAGACACGGAACGCAGACGCATCGCCTACCTTCTCCGTCCACAGCAAAGCTGGGGAGGTCTCCGGCATGGAGACCCTGGGGTGAAGGTTGATCTGATGCGCCACGTACCGAACCGCAAACGGCCACAGAAAATGGGGGGCAGTCACATGCATCATGAACGTACGAGCGACGTCCATGACCATGCCAATGCGGCGCTCAGCAATCCCATTTTGCTGTGGGGAGTCCGGAAGCGTAAAGGTCTGGCGGATGCCTCGCGCACGGCAATAGGCTCAAAGGAGGCCAGGAGAACTCTCCGCCTCGGTCAGAGTGCAGACGCAGAACAGGAAAGTCCGAGCCGAATCTCCTCCTGAGCTGAAGACGAGCTGCGCGGTTCCAGTTGATCAACACCTCAGTGACATCGCCCTTGCTGCGCAAGGGGAAGACTGTGGTGTAACGCGAGTAGTCGTCAACCACCAACAGAAAGTAGCGCTCGTGACCCTCTCCACGGATGCGGGCCGGGCCCCACACGTCCATGTGAAGCGTCTGCAGCGGGGCCTCTTTCGGAGGAAAGTGAGAGGAGTGAGTGGCAGCCCGGAGCCGCCCCTCGACACAGGGGACGCAGGAAGGACCAGGCCCCGGAGGAAGGGGAGGGAGAGACCGGGGAAGACCAGAGACAAGGACATGGGAAGCCATGCCTCGGAGACGAGGCAGGGAGGGGTGGCCAAGACGGTGGTGCCACAGGAGAGTCTCGTGAGACAGGAGGCGACACGAGCAGGGGGCAAACTCAGGACCAGACCTGGACGCTGCAGCAAACACCTGACCCGACGCAGCTACCTGGCCAGACGCAGGGACAGGAGGAGACCCAGTGGTCAGGGTGTAGAGGCTCGACCCCGGCCGACGTGTAAACGTGGCCAGTTGCCGGCCTGTGCGAGCATCCGAGCGGTGGGTCAACCGCTGACTCGCAGGAGTAAACTGGTGAACCCCCACATCCTGCAGGTCAGCACCACTCACCAAGTTCGTAGAGAATGAGGGGAGGTAAAGACCAGACAAGGTACCAGAGGGGGCAGCCGGACACGGGAGGTACAGTGGAGAAGTGAGAGAGGACAGGACCCCCAGAGGGGTCTGCCAGGAAGACTGCAACCGGCCGACCAAGCGGCGTGAGTGTGGTGCGGTCTCGAAAGAAGGAGCGAGAAGCCCCTCAGTCAAGTGTGAAGGTGAGGGAGGCCGAAGCCGACGTGGTACCTGAGAGCGCAGACTCACCAGCACCTGAGGGCGCAGACGCACTGGCACCTAGAGCAGCAGCCTCACCAGCACCTAGAGCAGCAGTCCCAATGCCCGGGTCGGGCGGGAAACACCGGTAACAGTCACCCTCATCACTAATAGTCACAGCATACATGGCAGCAAGGATAGCATCAAAGTCAAGATCATAGATAGCTACACCTGCCCTAGACAGCTCTGCCCCAGCGGGGGATCTCAGTAGCCTTCGCGAACTGCTGACGCCAAGCGTCCGTCAGGCGGCCAAAGCAGCGCTGGGTGGGGTGGGCGCCCCCACACTGCTCACCCGCGCGGTCGCCGGTGCGAAGGACGTAGGTGCACGGACCAAAACCCCCACCACGCTGACGCTGCGCGTACCACTCACGGAGCTGCTGAGGGGGGGGGATGTCCCGAGAACGCTGCTGCTGCTGGTGCTGCTGCTGGGGCTGACCACCACCGGAGCTGCTCCGCTGCGAAGCGCCACCCCGACCAGCTCCACCTCCTCCACCACCGCCTCCTCCACCTCCGCCACCACCACCGCCTCTGCTCCCACCGCTACCGCCTCCGCCGCCTCCGCCTCCACTGCTGCCACCGACACCTCCACCCCCGCCACCACTCCCACCGCCACCCCCACTCCCTCCGCCGCCTCCACCGCCACCTCCACCACCCCCGCTAGCTCCACCCGCGCCCTTGCCCCCCTTGCCCTTGCCAGAGCGGCGTCTCCCGCTAGGGGCAGACGCCGCGCCGACCGACTCAAGACCAACGAGGTCGGCCGTAGCAGCAGAGGCGACAGAGGGCAAAAGGGGGGAAGGGGAACTACCCCTCAAAGATGGGGGTGTGAGGGTCACCACGAGAGGCTCCTTCAGCGACTATGCTCTTCTCCGCTGGTAGGAGGGCCTTCTCTAGGAGGTTAACAGTGAGAGTGGTGGGACAGACTGAGAGGAAGTGGTCCCTGACTACACGAAGGGAGTCAGGGAGGCGGGTGACTATGTAAGAGAGAGTGTTGTACATGGGGGGGGGGGTTCTTGGCGCAGAACTCAGCAGGAAGCGCAGCGCGGTAGCGAGTGTCACTAGTGCGGAGGTACGTAATGAGGTCAGCGACTGTGGGAAAGGCAGCAAGGTCAGGGAAGAGGTACGGTAGCATGAGGCGGCTCAGTGCAGTAGTGGCAGGGGAAGAGTAGCGCGCAACTACAGCGTCGTACAAGGTCTGAGCACTCTTGTACTGACTAAAGCGCTCAGTGGTAGGCAGGTGGCGACGCACAGCAAGACATGCAGCAGCATCGCGCGTGGCCCACTGGGAGCGAACAGTGGCGTCAGCGTCAGCAGCAGGGGCAGGAGAGGCGCCAGAGGTGAGGTCAAAGAGGGAGAGACCGTCTGCCTTATCGCACTGTAGGAAAAGCTGCAGGTCATCTACCCAGACGTCAAAGTCAATGGCCCGACCCTCAACGTCAAAAGCGAGAACACTGGGGGAAGCCATGACAGCAGTAGACTAGCAGCACTAACTGTAGGACAGGGGCAATGCAGTGATAGAAGCGCTGCTCTCACCACACAGGGCGGTTCGGGCAGCTCAGCAGCACAGCAGCTCGGCAACACGGCGGCTCGGGCGACTCGGACGGCTCAGCAGCAACTGCGGCTCTACGGCACCAGCGGCTCGGCTCCTCAGCGGCTCAGGCGGCTCGGGCGGCTCGGGCGGCTCGGGCGGCTCGGGCAGCTCGGGCGGAACGGGCGGCTCGGGCTGCTTAGCGGTGCGGGCGGCTTGGTAGCGTAGTGCGGCAGGGCCGCAAGTAGGGCGGCGGGGCCACAAGGTAGGTGGCGAGGCCGCAGCGAGAGGGGCGGCGGGGCCGCAGCGAAGGGCGGCGGGGCCGCAAGGTAGGCGGCGGGGCCACAGCGAGAGGGGCGGCGGGGCCGTAGCGAGTGGGGCGGTGGGGCCGCAGCGAAAGGCGGCGGGGCCGTAAGGTAGGCGGCGGGGCCGCAGCGAGAGAGGCGGCGGGGCCGCAGCGAAGGGCGGCGGGGCCGGAGAGAAGGGCGGCGGGGCCGCAGCAAAGTGCAGCGGGGCCGCAGCGAAGGGCGGCGGGGCCGCAGCGAAGGGCGGCGGGGCCGCAGCGAAGAGCGGCGGGGCCGAAGTGAAGGGCGGCGGGGCCGTAGTGAAGGGCGGCGGGGCCGCAGCGAAGGGCGGTGGGGCCGCAGCGAAGGGCGGCGGGGCCGCAGCGAAGGGCGGCGGGGCCGGGACAGGGCGGCGCCGGGGCCGTAGGGCTAGGCGACGGGGCCGCTAGGGCGACGGGGCCGCTAGGGCGGCGCGACACAGTCGCTAGGGCGGCTCGACGAGATGAGAGAGAGGAGCGCGACTTGGGCTGAGCGCGCTCCGGGCAGGAAAAAAAAAAAATCGACTTGGTGGGCCCTAGGCACAGTTCCCACTAGGGAACCTGCTCAATACCATGAGAAAACTGAAACGAGAATGAATGACTAAGTGAAAGTTGGGTACAAATACAACCGTAGAAAGCTGTACCCCATATGTGCTACCCCGCTATAGCCTACAACAGCTATGTCATACAAATCTGACAAGATCCCCGATCGATCCTAGGGGGGGTTACAGGCGCGTTTGCCTGGGGGGTTATGGGCGCACTGACCCGCTTCTGAAACAAGCCCTTTTATCCCAATGGTCTAGTGGTTGGGATTCTGACAAAGTGCTGACAGTGTATCCTCTCTATGCATCATCCTCAGAACCACGTATATTTTTCGTCCATCTACAAGTTAGTTTTGGCCCTTAGTAAGAAAAAAAAAATATTTTTAACCAAGTAGGGAGGCCAGACTTGCTGCTAAATAAATCACGTCATATAAAAAGTGCTATATGTTTTGCGAGTCATAAAATTTGGAAATATAACTTAAGCAGCATGTCATAATTAATTGATGATTGTTTAATACAAGTAATAATTCTTTGCGAGTCTGAAGATTTAGGTAGGCAGTACTAAGAACATATCCACAAAGGTACAACACATAACATGATTGCATCCTCCTACAATCCCATCTGAGCTAAGACCATAGTACACTACAAGCCATGGCCTGGGTGATCACAGGTTAGCTACAGAGGCGATGATATCACCACGCAGAGCCACACCATTCACTTTGATGGAGGAGTAGAAGCTGGTGGGGTTGCTGAAGAACCCCGCATCCACCAGCGCCTTCACCCTGCTCACCGGCCTGAACGGCACCGTGATGTTGGCGAGAGTACTGGCGGTGCAACGGTAGGTGCCCAGTGTGCTGGTGGGCTTGGGCACGCATGTGAACTCCGCTATGAGCTGGCCCGCGGTGGTGTGGTAGGAGGAGTTGGAGAAGACAGGTGCTGGGCTGCTCGGCACACGCATCACGGTGAAGCTGTAGAGCGCCCTCTGCTGCGCTGATGTGCTGTGAATGGGTGGAGTGGGATGCAGGGGTGAATCAGAGCAGTGCGATGCAGTGGTAAGACGGAGCAGTGAGAAGTTTGCGACAAATGCAAGACAGAATGGGTGCAACGGAACAAATTCGTGTACGTCTACAGGCTGCAACGGGGGTTCGTGTTTATTGGAGGAGAGGGATGAATAGAAACTGGAGTGAGCAACATCTAGGCAGGGGTTGCGACAATGTGATTAGAAGGGGGACGGTTGACGTGCACTCACATGTTAACATCCACGTTGAACTTGGCGCTCGTGTTGGTTTGTGAGGTGAGCACTGAGGCAGCTCGGTCTGCAGCAGGCAGAAGAGGACTCAGTTGAGCTACTTTTTGAGGCAGCAGGACGATTTAAAGCAGGCAACAAATAGTCTGCAGTAGGAGACAATTGATGCATGCGCATGTGCCTGTGCATGTGCGTGTGCATGTGCATGTGCCTATCCACATACATATGCATATGCTTTTGCATGTGCATGTGCATGTGCATCAACTTACATCTGATGGGGGCATTAAGGTCTACAGTGGCGCTCTTTCCGCCGTAGTTCGGATCGCCGCCGCTTGCGGTGCTGCTCCCGCTGGTGCCGCTTGCAGTGCTGCTCCCACTGGTGCCGCTCGCAGTGCTGCTCCCACTGGTGCCGCTCGCAGTGCTGCTCCCACTGGTGCCGCTCGCAGTGCTGCTCCCACTGGTGCCGCTCGCAGTGCTGCTCCCACTGGTGCCGCTCGCAGTGCTGCTCCCACTGGTGCCGCTCGCAGTGCTGCTCCCACTGGTGCCACTCACAGTGCTGCTCCCACTGGTGCCGCTCCCAGTGCTGCTCCCACTGGTGCCGCTCGCAGTGCTGCTCCCACTGGTGCCGCTCGCAGTGCTGCTCCCACTGGTGCCGCTCCCAGTGCTGCTCCCACTGGTGCCGCTCCCAGTGCTGCTCCCACTGGTGCCGCTCGCAGTGCTGCTCCCACTGGTGCCACTCGCAGTGCTGCTCCCACTGGTGCCGCTCCCAGTGCTGCTCCCACTGGTGCCGCTCGAAGTGCTGCTCCCACTGGTGCCGCTCCCAGTGCTGCTCCCACTGGTGCCACTCGCAGTGCTGCTCCCACTGGTGCCGCTCGCAGTGCTGCTCCCACTGGTGCCGCTCGCAGTGCTACTCCCACTGGTGCCGCTCGCAGTGCTGCTCCCACTGGTGCCGCTCCCAGTGCTACTGCTACCATTGCCATTGCTACCAATGCTGCTGACCCCAGTGGTGCTGCTTTTAGTGCTGATTTGAGTGCTGCCGCCGCTTATGCTTGTTCCGCCGTCACCGCTCGACACAAGTAAGCCCCCAGTGTTTCCCGCAGCCACTGTGCTTCCCCCGCTGCTGCTCCCAGTGCTGCTCCCAGTGCCGAGGTTCCCAGTGGTGCCGCCTCCAACGCTGATTTCAGTGCTGCCTCCGCTTATGCTTCCGACGCCGCTCGACACAAGTAAGCCCCCAGTGTCTCCCGCACTCACAGTGCTTCCCCCGCTGCTGCTCCCAGTGCTGCTCCCAGCGCCACTGCTCCCAACGCCGAGGTTCCCAGTGGTGCCGCCTCCAACGCTGATTTCAGTGCTGCCTCCGCTTATGCTTCCGACGCCGCTCGACACAAGTAAGCCCCCAGTGTCTCCCGCACTCACAGTGCTTCCCCCGCTGCTGCTCCCAGTGCTGCTCCCAGCGCCACTGCTCCCAATGCCGAGGTTCCCAGTGGTGCCGCCTCCAATGCTGATTTCAGTGCTACCTCCGCTTATGCTTCCAACGCCGCTTGACACAAGTAAAGCCCCAGAGCCCCCTGAACTCACGGTGCCCCCCTCGCTGGTGGAGCTTGAGCTGCTCCCACCGCTGCTGCTGCTGCCACCGCTACTGCCACCGCTGCTGCTGCTGCCACTGCTGCTGCCACCGCTACTGCTGCTGCTGCTGCTGCTGAGGGGGACAGTGCTTACAGCTCCAAAAACGAGAGGTTTGTCAGGGCCGCCCGTGCTGCCGCTGCTCAACGTGCTGCCGCTTATCGATCCAGTCCCTGTTCCAGTCAAGATGACGTCGCTCGCATCCACCAGCACACGTTGCCCGCCGCCCGCCGCTGCGCAGCAGAGGGAGAGCGAGAACAGCACTGCCAAGGCGGCAAAGGGGTGCCGGGAAACAGTGTGGCGAAGCATGAGGGGAAACCGGTAGAACCTGCGGCTGGGAAGAGGCGAGACTTTGTGCGGAGAGGTGGAAAGGCAACAGGGAAGGGGATGTGCGGAGGCGATGCCGGCAGGTCCACGTGTGGGGCTATCGATGATGCACTCCCGCTGGCGCGCGATACTTGCGCGGGACGACTCGCGGACGACGAGTCAAAATGACAGGGCGACGGAGAGACACGACAGGGCGACGGAGAGACACGACAGGGCGACGGAGAGACACGACAGGGCGAAGGCGACTTGACAGGGCGACGGGGCCACAGGACGAGGCGACATGGGCGACGGAGTGACATGACCAGCAGCAGCAGCTGCTGCTGCTGCTGCTGCTGCTGCTGCTACTACTACTAGGCGACGTGACAGCGTCTGAAAGATTGGCCTGGGTCTAAAGTCACCTCCGATGCTGGTCGGTCAAACTTGTCGCGAACTTAACACGCGTCCCGAATCTGCGTCTTAGTTCTGAGGGGGCGACAATGAAAGAGACGCGAAGCGACATGCTCAGGGGGCGAGGGGGCAAATACTACGACAGGGCAACGATCCTCTCATGCACACTCCGACAGGGCGAGGGCGCGCGACTCGGATTCACGAGTGCAGAGATACGCGATACAGCACTCGTGAAGTACAAGTCGGGCAAAACACTGCATATCGATAAGATTCACAGAGTGCGCCTCGTCAATACGTCACAGCCTACCCCCTCGGCGTTGGTGATTGTGACTGTCCTTCAAGGACAGAAATCTCTCGTTGCGACACGGCCGCAGGGACGACGTGGCAGGGCAAGGCGACATGGCAGGGCGCGTAGTACGACGCGGTGGGCTCACCCGCGATGACGGCTGCGAGGCGCTTAACGTCGAGCGACGGCGCGCAAGAGAGTGACGTCATCCGAGCCATGGCTGGATGGAATCGCGGGAAGCTGGAAGTTGCAAGTCAAACTTGAGGCGATCTCGGGAAGCGTGAAATGGAGCGCGGGGAGTGGATGGTGGGTGAGTGTCTCAAAGAGGATGAGTCTGCGAACTGAGTGAAAGCAGCAGGAGCTCTTATAAGAAATGGAGGGCGCAGGAGCGCCGTACTTTTCCATACGAGTTCCTCCCCTCGCTTTCACTACGAGTTCCTCGGATAATCTCATCCTGCGCAGCTGGTTGCCTGCCACTGTGTGGAAGGCACGCGACGGAACACGATTCTACCGATTTAGCTGCGCTCGATCCGTGTGCTCCGTTAGCGACGGCGAAATGTTTGGCTGCGCCTACCTGCGAGCCGCATCTGAAACCAACTGGGCACCTGGCGCCTTGATGCAGGTCCCCGTGAGTCGCGCTGTGACTCAACAAAATTCTGTCCACTGTTGTCATGGCACGGAGGTAACCAGCGCTCCACAGACAGAACTCGGCGGGATGGCATGGGATCTGAAATAGTGTATCCTCGCTTTAGATCAGTTGAAGAGCCAGGTACACTTTTGTTTATCTCTAGGCCAGTCTTAAAGCTTTTTTAGAAAAACTATTCTCTTTACTTAGTCGTCTATTCTGAAACAGGACAAACTCTCGTCACGTTGACGCACCCGTTGACTTGGTCATTCATAGTCCCGCGTGGCCGCATCGCAACCATGGCGCGTCGGAAACAGGTTAACCCTTCTCGCAGTCGAGCATCGCGCGCCGCTTGCACACCATCCGAAGTCGTTGAAGTTGAACCGTTAGATTTGGCAGTCTCCCACGTTCCTCCGACACCTCTTTCCTCACCCACGCTAGTCGTTCCGCAAATTGAAGGCAGTCAGCGCAGGCCTGACGGCGACGGTAGCGGCGGTAGCCAGTCAGCTGGTCAATCCGACGGCTGGCGCACAAGATGGGTCAAGCTAGGGGACCCTGAAGGTGCTGACGTGGCATTACTGGGACCATTCACACCGTCGTCGCATCCTCGTCGCACTCCTCTCCACGTTCTCAACCAGCAACGCAGCGGCTGCGCTGCCGCTGCTGCTAGCGGCGCCACACCTACCGCGACGCCCGGTAGTGTCATACCCGATAGCGAAATACCCGATAGTGGCGATCCGCTGGGTCGTCTAGCCGTGCTTCGTGCGTTCTTAGAGCGGCACAGAGGAGCGCGCGGGGGAGAGGGCGGCGTGGGCGAGGGGAGGGCGGGGCTGCATGCGTGCTTGAGCGTGCGGGAGAGCGCGGGCGGCGAGCCGTCGCGCTCGCGGACGTGTGGGCGCGCGCAGGTGCCGCGGGTGCGCGCGGAGGACGTGGTGCTTCACGTGGTGCGCGCAGAGGAGGGCACAGGCGAGCGCGCAGGGGGTAGGGCGGGGGAAAGGGATGGCGAGGCGGAAAAAGGGAGGGGAGGAGGGGAAGGGGTTGGGGGTGGGGAATGGGAGAAGTGCGAGGAGTGGGAGGAGGAGGGAATGGGGGGGGAAAGAGGGGAGGCGGAGGGAAGGGAGGGGGAAGGAGGGGAGAGGGCGGAGATAGTAGTGTCTGTGAGGGCGAGTGAAGTGAGGCAGCTGCAGCACCCACGTGCCTTGCACGCGCTGCTGTACCTCGCAGAGAAGCACCTCGTTACTGTCACACCCTACCTCGTTGCTGCACGCCCAGCGGAAGCAGTAACATGGCCATATGAATCACATTCGTGCCTGTGTGGGTGCGTATGGGTGGCGGTGGGCTTCCCCAGCAGCCTCGCCCCCTCTCTGCCCCTACCGGACGTGCACGCCCCTCTGCTCTCCCCGCTGCTTAACACTGTGCGCCGCCCCTCCCATGCGCCCCACATGCGCGCCCTCATGGATTGCCTCGCCCCCTTTGCCCCGCCCCACGCCCCCATGCCTCCATGCGTACATGCACACACACATGTACACATACATGCACATGCACATACACATGCACATGCACACACACATACATGTGCAATCACACATGCAAGTTCTGAGGTGTCTCAAGGTATGCATGTGGAAGAGCATGGGGGTGAGGTGGAGGATGCGTGTGGAAGCATGAGCCGGAATGCTCGCACCGCTCCGCCTTGCGCCTGTCAGCCTGGACATGATGCTCATGACGTGGCTACTGCTGACGTGGCTACTGCTGAAGTGGCTACTGCTGACGTGGCTGCTGATCTAGGTGGAAAGGACGGAGTCAAGGAGAAGAGTGAACGGGAGAAAGGGAAGGGGAAAATTGGCGAGGGAAGCAACACAGGCGTGACAGTGGATGGTGGCAGCGGAGGTGGCAGCAATGGCTCTGGTTGTGCCTCTGCTTCTGTGGCTGCTGGTGGCAACGAGGAAGTGGCTGGTGCAGCGGAGGCGCGAGGGGGCGTGCATGGCAGGGTGCATGCGGCCAGCTGCTTTGACCTCGCTCAGCTCTATGCTGCTGTGCGTCCCAGCAGGTGGGTGGTGGCGCTTTTTCCGCCCGTGCACTTCCCCTGTTTCCACCACAAGTGCCTTTACTGGCCGTCTCACTTGTCGCGACTCGTCCCCTTCGTTTTTTCCAGGAATCTGCCACCCCTCGCCACGAGTCCGGCCGGCCTGCTGCCCTCGCTGCGGCCATACCAAAGCCGGGCCGTGGCGTGGATGGTGCAGCGCGAGCGCGGCGCTCAGGGGACTTGCAGGAAGGGCGATACTGGGGGAGGTAGAGTTGATGGGGAGGGGGGAGCAGTGCAGGGGGGGCAGCATGGAGGGTGGAGCCATGCGGAGCAGCAGCAGCAGCAGCAGCAGCAGCAGCAGCAGCAGCAGCAGCAGCAGCAGGGGTGGGGAGTGGCGGAGCAGCACCCGTTGTGGCGGCGGGTGACAGCAGGCAGCGCCACTGACCCCTTGTCGCAGCCGACTCACACCAGCACCGCCCCTGGCGCCACTCTCCTCTACAACCCCTTCCTGTGCGTGCGTGCGTGACAGCCAGCTCACGTGCTTGCCTGCTCGCCTCCCCGCTCCTTCTCACCCGCTTGGCCCATGAGCGCAAGCCCAACACTCTAGTGCCTTGCATGCGTACTATCAGTCACTAGCCACCTTGAGCCACACCCCTGGCCCGTGTGGAGCACAGTCAGCCAGGAAGATCGACAATTCCACTTCTTCTCCATCTTTTTGCCTCAAACACTGTCTCACCCCCGTACTAGCTGCCAAGCTTCGATCCCATCCCCATCCCCATCCCCATCCTCATCCCCATCCCCATCCCCATCCCCATCCCCATCCCCATCCTCATCCGCATCCCCATCTACACCCCCATCCGCATTTCCATCCTCATCCCCATCCCCAATCCCATCCCCAATCCCATCCCCATCCCCATCCCCATCCCCATCCCCATCCCCATCCCCATCCCCATTGCTCCTCTGCATGTCCCCTTGCCAGAGGCACATTCGTCCGTCTTCCCCCCTCCGCCTCATGTGCAAGGGCTGGGAGGCAGCCGCAGGGGGAAGAGGCAGTGGGGCATGGGGGGAAGAGGGAAAGCGGGGAGATGCAGCGAAGTGGCTCCTCATTGGGTCCAGGTTCGGTGAGTACAGACTCGGCAGATTTAGCGCCGACCTGTCCAGACATGGTGAACGATGCAGGCCCAACAAGTCCAGGTTTGGCACGTGCAGGTACGGTGAGTCGAGGTACGGAGAGATCGGGTACCAGCCCAGGTAATATAAGCCCAGGCTCGGTGAGTCTTGGTTCGGTGGGCCCAAGTTCGGTGAGTCCAGGTTTGGTGAGTCCAGGTCTGGTGAGCCAAGGTCTGGCGAGTGCAGGTTGGGGGAGTGGTGTGTGCGGGTGGGTGGGTGAAGTGGCGGGGGCAGTGAGAGGCGGCATTGTGGCGGAGGAGATGGGGCTGGGGAAGACCGTTGAGGTGCTTGCTTGCATCCTCGCCCACCGCTGGAGGGGCGGTGGGGGTGAGGGAGAGGGGGAGGAGGCGGAGGAAATTGTGTTGCAGGGAGAGCAGGTGACAAGAGGAAAGCGTAGGAGGGGGGAGGTAGAGGATGAGGGGGTAATGGGGAAGAGGAGGGGAGTGCTGAGAGGTGAGGAGCGGTCGGTGGAGAGGAGAGGAGATTGGGCATGTGGGGAGAAAGCGGAGGGGGTTGATAGTGAGGAGAGGAGAGGGAGCAGCAGGAGGCGCAGAGGCAGCAGTGGGGGTAGCAGCAGCGGCATCAGTTGCTGCAGTGCAGGGAGTGGGGCAGAGGCATCGGCAGCACACGGGGCGAGGAGAGGGGTAGAGGCATCGGCAGCACACGGGGCGAGGAGAGGGGCAGAGGCATCGGCAGCACACGGGGCGAGGAGAGGGGCAGAGGCATTGGCAGCACTCGGGGCGAGGAGAGGGGCAGAGGCATCGGCAGCACACGGGGCGAGGAGAGGGGCAGAGGCATCGGCAGCACACGGGGCGAGGAGAGGGGCAGAGGCATTGGCAGCACACGGAGCGAGGAGAGGGGCAGAGGCATCGGCAGCACACGGGGCGAGGAGAGGGGCAGATGCATCGGCAGCACACGGGGCGAGGAGAGGGGCAGAGGCGAGCGCGGGAGGGCAGGCAGAGCCGCAACGAGAGACGATGGAGGGGCCTTTGGAGGGCGTGCCGTGGTGCAAGGGGCAGCGGACGCAGAGGGGGAGAGACGGGATGAGGGGGAACGGGCGGATGACGGGTGGTGGGGGTTGTGGAGATATTGAGAATGAGAGAAGGGAGGAAGAGGAGGAGGAAGAGAAGAGCAGGAAGAGGAAGCGAGGGAGAGAGGGTTGTGATGGGACAGCAGCAGGGAGCAGCAGGGGGCGTGGTGGTAGTGGGCAGGTGGAGGGCGCGGGAGGAAAGGAAGGGGCAGGGGAGGACATCGAGGGAGGCGAGGTGCGGGAGTGTGGGAGTACGCTGATCGTGTGTCCGGCGGCCATCCTCCCCCAGTGGCAGCAGGAGGTCGTGCGGTCCGTGCCTGCCTGCCTGCCTGCCCATTCTGTTTGTTGCACGAATCATTTTTTACCACCTTTGATTGAATGTGGATAGCGCTGATTGGATGTTCCATTCTTGTGGTCCCCTCGTACCATTCTTGTGGTCCCCTCGTTCCATTCTTGTGGTCCCCTCGTTCCATTCTTGTGGTCCCCTCGTTCCATTCTTGTGGTCCCCTCGTTCCATTCTTGTGGTCCCCTCGTTCCATTCTTGTGGTCCCCTCGTTCCATTCTTGTGGTCCCCTCGTTCCATTCTTGTGGTACCCTCGTCTCGTTCCATTCTTGTGGTCCCCTCGTTCCATTCTTGTGGTCCCCTCGTTCCATTCTTGTGGTCCCCTCGTTCCATTCTTGTGGTCCCCTCGTTCCATTCTTGTGGTACCCTCGTTCCATTCTTGTGGTCCCCTCGTTCCATTCTTGTGGTCCCCTCGTTCCATTCTTGTGGTCCCCTCGTTCCATTCTTGTGGTCCCCTCGTACCATTCTTGTGGTCCCCTCGTACCATTCTTGTGGTCCCCTCGTTCCATTCTTGTGGTCCCCTCGTTCCATTCTTGTGGTCCCCTCGTTCCATTCTTGTGGTACCCTCGTTCCATTCTTGTGGTCCCCTCGTTCCATTCTTGTGGTCCCCTCGTTCCATTCTTGTGGTCCCCTCGTTCCATTCTTGTGGTCCCCTCGTTCCATTCTTGTGGTCCCCTCGTTCCATTCTTGTGGTCCCCTCGTTCCATTCTTGTGGTACCCTCGTTCCATTCTTGTGGTCCCCTCGTTCCATTCTTGTGGTCCCCTCGTTCCATTCTTGTGGTCCCCTCGTTCCATTCTTGTGGTCCCCTCGTACCATTCTTGTGGTCCCCTCGTTCCATTCTTGTGGTCCCCTCGTTCCATTCTTGTGGTCCCCTCGTTCCATTCTTGTGGTCCCCTCGTTCCATTCTAACGCGACACCAGGTTCTTTTCCACCATCATTGCATGGGGTTTGTTTCTCTGTCCTAAACAGCAAGAGTTTATGGAAACAAGGCCTCCGCAGCCCACCTGTTCTACTTCGACAGTTCGTTCCATTCTTGTGGTCCCCTCGTTCCATTCTTGTGGGCCCCTCGTTCGTCGGTGTAAGCATGCCTCGCCTCCTCTTACCCTGTCCCTGCCACTCATCGTGCATGCACTGCTTCATGCATCAAACCGCACGCCTTCCACTCTCCTCGCACCCCCCTGCCGGCGTCCACCAGGCACACGCGGCCCCACACAGTGGGCGTGCTGGTGTACCGCGGTGTCAACAGCCCTTCTCTGACTTTTGAGTTGACCCAAAAGTCAACTTCCTCCTCTCTCCCCCCACCACCCCACGCCCACCAGGCACACGCGGCCTCACACAGTGGGCGTGCTGGTGTACCGCGGTGTCAACAGCCCCGCTCTGCGCCTCTCCTTCCGCCCCGCCCCTACCTCGCCCCCCCACGCTCCCCTCACCTCACCCCCTCAAGCCATGCCCTTGGAAGGGGACCAGTCCCCTTCCACTCCTCTCACCACGTCCCCTGCCTCTCCTCCCGTTGCCTCCTCCGATTCTCCTCTCACTGCATCGTCTGCCACAGCTGGAAGGGTGGGAGAGTGTGGTGGTCGAGAGGGGATGGCAGGAGATGGCAGGTGGAGTGGCGGAGGAGAGGATGGGGATGGCAAGAGGCGGGTGGATGGAGAGAGCAGTGAGGGAAAGGGCGGCGCGGGCAGCAAAGGGAAATGCGGGGATGGCAGCAGATGGAGGGATGGAGAGAGAGTGCATGCAGGAGGCAGGCAAGCAGTGCAAGGGAGTGGAGGAGGGCAGGTGGGCGTTGCATCAGGCGATGGAGAAACGGGGCTACAGGAAGGAGGGCTGGGTGGCAGAGGTGGGGAAGAGAGAGGAGGGGTGGGTGGCGGTGAGGGGGAGTCGGAGGCGGTGTGGGAGGAGGTGCCTGCAGTGACTCTTGATGACCTGGACAGCTGCTGACATCGTGCTGACGTCATATGACACGCTGCGTGGCGATATCTGGCACGATGTGGGTGGGCAGGGACACGTGGCAACACGGCAGCTGAGATATGAGAAGAGGTGCGTGGCAGGGGTGTGTGTGATGCTGGGTGCGAGTGTAAAGGGGAACAGTTAGTGGGGTGTGTGGCTGTGTGAGGGGTGGGGACGTGAGGGTGACTGAGAGCGCATGTGTGCATTGTAGGAACGGGGTGGCTGGAAGCTGAAGAGGAGAGGGGGTGAGCGAGCACCTCTTTCCACGCCTTCCCACACCTCCCTACCCGTCTTGCCCCTGCCCACCTCTCTGCCCACCATACCCCCCGCCAGGTACCGAATTCGCCCCATGGCACTGATACAGCTGCGGTGGTGGCGGGTGTGTGTGGACGCAGCGCAGCAGGTGAATGGGGGAGCCTCCAACGCCGCCAGAATGGGGGCCTGCCTGCCCGCCCTCCCTCACCTGCTTGCTGTCCCACCCCTTCCTCTAGGTACCAAATCCGCCCCACACCACTAACGCGTCTGCAGTGGTGGAGGGTGTGTCTGGACGAGGCGCAGCTGGTGGAGGGGGGGGCGTCCAACGCGGCCCTCATGGCGGCCCGCCTGCCAGCGCGCCTCCGCTGGTGCGTCTCCGGCACGCCGCTGCACCGCGGCCTCCCTGACCTCCTCGGCCTGCTCCGGTTCCTCCGAGCCTCGCCGTTTGACGAGCCTCACTGGTGGCGGCATTTTTTCCAGCTGCCTATCCAGGTGAGCCCGTCAGCTGCGGTGGTGATGGTTTGTGAAATGGGTGGGTGTGGGGGTGAATGGTGGTGGGGGCGAACAGAAGCGTTTGAACAGGGTTGGTGATGGGCGTTTGAGCAGTCCGATTCGAACAGAAGCCTGTTGCGGCGAGGCGAGGAGGAGGGGTGGAGGGGAGCAGTGGGTGCATTGGATGGCTGCACTGAATGAGTGAGGACCTTGTGTTGGCAGCTGCTGTTATACCATCAAAAGGGGGGAGGGGAATGAATGGTGCTGGGGTGCGTCGTTGTGACAGTTAGAACTTCCTTTGCGCGCTTGTGGGTGAGTGAAATTACGAGGAGAGAGAGAGGGAGGGAGGGAGGGAGAGAGGGAGGGCGGGAGGGGGGGTGATACGTGGTGACTGGCACAAACAGAATGGAGTGTGTGCGAAACACAACATTCGACTGAGTTAACGTGATGCCAAGTTCAACTGTGCTGCCAAGTTCAACTGTGATGCCAAGTTCAACTGTGCTGCCAAGTTCAACTGTGCCTTGTGCTCTGCCCCACGGGTTCGTTCGCCCTTGCCCTCTCTCGTCTCGACTCCTCCCTCTTTAACTCCCCCCCTCATATCTCTCCAACGCCTCCCCCCCTCCACCGCCTCCCCCTCTTTGGCAATGCCACGTCAGAATGGATGCTTGGCAGCATGGCACGCGCTCCTGGCCCTCATGTCGAGGCTGATGTGGCGCCATCACAAGGCCGACGTGGCAGACGAGCTGGCGCTGCCACCTCAGCGGCAGCTGCTGACGGTGCTGCGGTTCAGCGCCATCGAGGCGCACTTCTACCGCCAGCAGCACGCCAAGTGCGCCCAGCGCGCCACCAGCATGCTGCGCTCCGTGGCACGCGGGGGCCGGAGGGGAGGAGGGAGGAGAAGCGGAGGAGTTGGAGACGGAGTGGGATTAGATGGGAGAGGTGATGGGGATGGGGATGCAGAGGCGGAGGGGGAGCAGCAATGGCAGGGAGGGGGCAGAGAGTGGCAGCAGCAGCAGGAGCAGCTGGTGCTGGGGGCACGGTCATTAGCGGGTGCATGTCGGGGCGACATGGAGCGGTTCCTGGCGTCGCTGCTGCTGCTGCGCCACGCCTGCTGCCACCCGCAGATCGGCTCTGGTGGGCTCAGACCGTTGGGATCACAGGGCCGCCCCATGCACATGGGCGAGGTGCTGCAGGTGAGATGCGTGGTGCAGGTGAGATGCGTGGTGCAGGTGAGATGCGTGGTGCAGGTGAGATGTGGTGCAGGTGAGATGTGGTGGAGGTGAGATGTGGTGCAGGTGAGATGTGGTGCAGGTGAGATGCGTGGTGCAGGTGAGATGCGTGGTGCAGGTGAGATGCGTGGTGCAGGTGAGATGCGTGGTGCAGGTGAGATGTGGTGCAGGTGAGATGTGGTGGAGGTGAGATGTGGTGCAGGTGAGATGTGGTGCAGGTGAGATGTGGTGCAGGTGAGATGCGTGGTGCAGGTGAGATGCGTGGTGCAGGTGAGATGCGTGGTGCAGGTGAGATGCGTGGTGCAGGTGAGATGTGGTGCAGGTGAGATGTGGTGGAGGTGAGATGTGGTGCAGGTGAGATGTGGTGCAGGTGAGATGTGGTGCAGGTGAGATGCGTGGTGCAGGTGAGATGCGTGGTGCAGGTGAGATGCGTGGTGCAGGTGAGATGCGTGGTGCAGGTGAGATGTGGTGCAGGTGAGATGTGGTGCAGGTGAGATGTGGTGCAGGTGAGATGTGGTGCAGGTGAGATGTGGTGCAGGTGAGATGTGGTGCAGGTGAGATGTGGTGCAGGTGAGATGTGGTGCAGGTGAGATGTGGTGCAGGTGAGATGTGGTGCAGGTGAGATGTGGTGCAGGTGAGATGCGTGGTGCAGGTGAGATGTGGTGCAGGTGAGATGTGGTGCAGGTGAGGTGATGATGCAGGTGAGGTGGGAGGGTAAGGCTTGTTCCACCTGCTCAACTCAGTTGTGTGCCACTCCTCCCAGCATTTTTATGCCTTGCAGCTTCCTTATCTCGTTTGCCCCAAGCCGTTTTCCACCTGTCTTTTCAAGTCATCGGCCTTTCCGGTGAATGCATACGCGTGGCATGGTAATGGTATGCATACGCGTGGCATGGTAATGGTATCAGCTCGGACATCATCACCGGCTTCATCACGCGCATCATCATGCCCATACCCCCAGGTGCTGTTGGAGAAGGCGCGGGTGGAGGCGGAGGAAGCCCAGCGTCTCCTCATCTCCGCCCTCAACGGCCTCGCTGCCCTCGCCGCCATCCACGCCCCCGCCCTCCCCCTCCACTCGTCCTCGCCGCCCGCCTCTTCCTCTTCCTCTCACTCCCGCCTCCGCACCGAGAACAGCAGCGAGCAGTGGCGGGCAGGGGTGGTGCAGGCGGTGGGGATTTACCGCAATGTGCTGCGCCTCATGGACGGGGATGGCCCGGGGGATGGGGAAGCAGCGAGGGGACGGGTTGGAGATGGCGATGGGGAGGAAGGCAGAGGCAGTGGGTTGTGTGTGGCGCGGCCCACCACGCATGGCAGTGTGCTGCGCACGGACCCCCTGCAGCGCCTGCACGTTCTGCACAACCTGCATGAGCTGCTCGCCCTGCTGCACACCACCAGGGATGGAGAAGGGACGCGAGAGGGTGAGAAGGGGTGCAATGCGGTGGAGCCAGGTGGCGATGGAGCAGGGGTGGGTGTGGCGAGGACACTGAGGGATGGGCGGCTGGAGGCGGAGAGCGGTGAGGTGAAGGAACGGTACCTGGCGCCTGTGAGGGGCCGCGCTGCTGCTGCTCAGAAAGCATTTGAGGACACACACTCTCAGGTGAGTTGGGTTGGAGGTTGGGAACATACCTGCACATGAGATAGTGTGCATGTGCAACTGCCTTCTGATTTTCCCACCCACACATCAATGCTGCCTGCACTGCTCGCCCACATTGCATCACAGCACTCACCCCACCCACCCACACACACACCCACCCCCACATGGGCAGGTGGAGGCCCATCTGGCAGCGGCATGCCTCTCCACCGCCACCACCCCCTGGTGGCTCACGCTCCTCACTGCACTGCACTCCTCTGCACCGCCCGGCATGGCGGAGAGCGTCACGGCACGCCTGCACCGAGCGCTACTGGACGACGACCACCGCCTGGCCCATACCCACAACATGGCCAGCCTTGGGCTCAGGTGCGATGTCCCATGCTCCTGTGACATCCTCAGGTGCTTCCTTCCGCGTGCCCCAGGTGCGACTTTTGAGGCGCCTCAAAAGTAGTTTGTTCCATGCTCCTGGTGTGACATGACATCTTCAGGTGCTTCCTTCCACATGCCCCAGGTCAGGTGTGCCTCCCTCAGGTGAGAAACGGATTAGACAGGATAGAGTGAAACACCTCGAGCCTAGGAGCCCTGGCCACGCCACCACTCCCACCCTCCTATCCTCCCGCATCTCCGCACATGGCAGGCCCCTCCCACGCGCTGTAGGGGGTTGCGGCCGGCTGGTGCTGGCAGGGCAGCTGTTGCTGCCAGGCAGCGAACCCCTTTTCCCACTATCGGCCCCCTCCGTGCAACCCCCCTCGTGGCAGGTTCCGCACGCTGCACGGGGTGCGGCTGGTGCTGGCAGGAGAGGTGGACTCGCTGCTGGCGGGCAGGCGGGAGGTGCTGCAGCGCGTGCTGCAGGCGGGGGGCCAGGTGGCGGCGCAGGGCGTGCAGGGCAGCCTCGTCGCACAGGCAGGCTCGTGTGCTCGCTGCTGTGCCGGGCAGGAGGGGGAGGAGGGGGCGGACGCCAGGGGGGCTGGGGGGTTGCTGGCTGGTGGATTGGGTGGCGAGGCAGGAGCCGGAACGGGTGGGGGGGATGAGTGCTGCATGCACTGCAAGACACAGGAGTTCTTCGAGGTGAGATGGTTGCATCATGTGGTTCGGTCAGGGTGATGAGTAGCTTCTTCCGTTTCTCTGGTATACTGAACCACCGCAGCGTAGTGTGCTCCTCTGTGCAGGACGTAAGTGCAATGGCTACCTTATCATTTTCCCATCTCATGTAGTGTGTGTTTCTTGTGCTGCTTCACTCCTGCCATTCCGTTTCCGTCCGCCACTTCACCTTGCGAGCACGTGCTACACTGAGCATAAGGTGCGTCGCATGCGAGCACGTGCTACACTGAGCATAAGGTGCGTCGCATGCGAGCACGTGCTACACTGAGCATAAGGTGCGCCGCATGCGAGCAACCCCTGTTTGAAGGCAAGCGTGCGTGCGAGGTCGCATGCACATGGATCCTATCTACCTCATTATGCGTGCGAGGTCGCATGCACATGGATCCTATCTACCTCATTATGCGATGCGAGCTCATCAAGTCCACCTAGGCAGTCCGCTTATGCAGTCCACCTAGGCACAGAGGCGGTGGGGAATAACCTAGTGAGGATTGGGCTAGTCATGAGCGGGCGGTCCGGCTTGTCGACCTGAGCCCGCTCCACACGCCGTGCTTGACTCGTCAGCAACCATCAAGTTATCCAAATGAAGAGAGGATGAACGAGAAACAGTACAGCCATGAAAAAGGGCACAACGCCACGATACCATCAACTCGTACAACTCGTCCCCTCCCACCGTCCTCGCTATTGATCTGCACACCCTCGTTTCTCTAAGTGCCCCCTCCCACCAACGCCCCTGTCTCTTCCCCCCTGCCAGAGCTACCAGCGACGTCTCTTCCACCTGCGCCTCTCCTCCGCCCCCACTTCCCTCCCCGCCTCGTCCCCCTCCGACCATCCTGAACCTCCCCATCCCTCCTCCTTGCCCCACGACCCCCTACACGTCCTCCAATCCACTCTCGGTGTGCGCCGCACCCCGCTTGCTGCTGCAGCAGCAACAGGGGGGCAGGGTGGGAGGGGGAGGGGCAGCAGGGGTGAGGGAGGGGACGGGTCAGGCGGGGTAGAGGGGAAGGGGGGAACGGTGGTGTGGAACCCGTCTGACACCGAGAGGTGCCTTGCTGTGCTGGCGTCTGTGCTGCGATCATTGCCACGTGGCATCATCCCAGAGGACAAGCAAGCCAGCCTGGCAGCTGCAGCGTCCAGCTCTTTGGAGGCTCTGGAGGTGAGGCGAGATGCGATACACCGGCGTGGCTCTTGAGGCGAGAGGGGCTGCACGCCGTGATGTCTTCTCCCAATCTGCCATGCTATCTGGATTCCATCTGCCATGGCAAGCATTTTCTTGCTTGTCATGGCACGCTGCATGAGTGGACCTTCCGTTGACCTTTCACTCTCATCCATTCTCCAAACCTTTTCACTCACAGTCGCCCTTCCATGCTCCTGTGCCCCTGTAATCCTGTGCCTTGTGCGGCCGCCTTCCCTCTGCTGCTGCTCCCTCCCCGCACACCACGCAATGCGAAAGGAGTTCCTGGTGGCCCGAGCGTGGTCGGAGGCGACTTTTGAGTCGACTCAAATGTCATCTTTCCTCTGCTGCTGTTCCCCTCCCCGCACACCAGGCCATGCGAAAGGAGTTCCTGATGGCGCGAGCGTGGTCGGAGGCACAGAGGGGAGTGCTCAGAGCGCTAGATGAGCTGCACATGGCCGTCACGCGAATCACGCTCCGCCACGTGGACGAGCCGCCAGCTGCCACGTCAGCAGCTACACGCATGGCACGTGTGAGTGAGGAGGAGGCGGCGGCGCTGAGCGTGGTGCTGACGCATGACAGGCTGGCAGCCGATGCTCAGCTGCAGGCCAGCCGCGCCCAGCTGAGGTACCTGCGCGGGCTGGCTTCTGCTCGCCGGCGCGCGGTGCAAGGCGGGGGAGGCGTGGGGACGGAGATGGGTGGGGAGGAAGGGGATGGGGGAGGGAGTGGGAAAGGTGGGGGAGGGGAGAGGGGTGGTGGAGAGGAGGGGGAGGAGGAGAGCTGCCCTGTGTGCAGGGAGGCGTTGGGCAGTGAGTTATCGGTGCTGCCGTGCGGGCATCTGCTGTGCTGCAAGTGTGAGTGCTCTCCCTCCGTTTCATCCCTCACCATGTGTCATCTCACTGCGCCATCTCTCACTGCGCCATCTCTCACTGCGCCATCTCTCACTGCGCCATCTCTCACTGCGCCATCTCTCACTGCGCCATCTCTCACTGCGCCATCTCTCACTGCGCCATCTCTCACTGCGCCATCTCTCACTGCGCCATCTCTCACTGCGCCATCTCTCACTGCGCCATCTCTCACTGCGCCATCTCTCACTGCGCCATCTCTCACTGCGCCATCTCTCACTGCGCCATCTCTCACTGCGCCATCTCTCACTGCGCCATCTCTCACTGCGCCATCTCTCACTGCGCCATCTCTCACTGCGCCATCTCTCACTGCGCCATCTCTCACTGCGCCATCTCTCACTGCGCCATCTCTCACTGCGCCATCTCTCACTGCGCCATCTCTCACTGCGCCATCTCTCACTGCGCCATCTCTCACTGCGCCATCTCTCACTGCGCCATCTCTCACTGCGCCATCTCTCACTGCGCCATCTCTCACTGCGCCATCTCTCACTGCGCCATCTCTCACTGCGCCATCTCTCACTGCGCCATCTCTCACTGCGCCATCTCTCACTGCGCCATCTCTCATTGTGTCGCTTCACCGTGTCGCCTTTTATCGTCTCATGTCAATGTAATATCTTTCCATGTCATCTCTTCTCACCTCACCTCACCTCACCTCACCTCACTGTGTCATCCCACCATGTCATCTCTGCAGGCACATGTTTACTGGTGGAGAGGTCCCCTCAAGCCACCACCACCAGCATCAGCAGCAGGGAGCGGCGCATGCGATGCCCCACATGCCGCCACGTGGCAAGGGCATCGGAGATTGCCTACGTGGACAACCGTAGGGACCACCATGGGTACCCTGCTGCTGCCCTGCAGACGGATCAGAGCACAGGTGGTGAGGACTTCAACACATTTGGAAGCGGTCAGCAATGTAATGGTCCCTGCCGTTGTGGTTCAACAATATCGTCAGCGTCAGCCGCAGGAGCACTGTCGCATACCAGCGTGGAGGCACATAATTGCTGTTGTCGCACCAACAGCCGTGGTGGTGGGGGCGGTGGAGGGAGGGAGGGGGAGGAGCAGGAGTTGCCAGATGAAGTGCGGATGCAGGAGGAGCAGATGAGCATTCATACAGGGTTCGGCACCAAGGTAGGCAGCGCAGCACCATGATGCTGAGGTGCTAAGTTACTGAGATGAAAAGTTTTGAAGGTGTCAAGTCGCTGATGTATGAGGCTACAATGGTACTGCATCATCGCTGATTTATTGTAATGTGAAACCTCGTCAACCCTGCCTTTGCGTGCCCTTCTTCCATCCTAGCATCCTCTTTCTTACTCGCACCGCATCCCATCCCATGCCACCCCATGCCACCCATGCCCATCTTTCCAGCTGGACGCGGTAACGCGGCGGGTGTTACGGCTACTGCGCAGCGACCCATCAGCGCGCGTCATCATCTTCAGCGCGTGGAGGGAGGTGCTGCTGCTCGTGCAGCACTGCCTGCACGCCAACGCCGTCCCCACTGCCTCCGCCTTCTCCCACCGGTGCACACCCCACCTTTCCATCCTGCTTTCTTGAACTTCCCCTACTTTCTACCCCTCCCTACACTACCCCCTCTTCCCCCCACACACACTCTACTCCACTCACCTCTAACCTTGTTCTTTTTCCTGTGCTTACAATAGGCCCATGAGTCTCCTCTTGTTTGCAGTTAATACTTATGCACCTCGTTCAAGTCCTTGGTTTGTTCTTCCATCATCGTTCGATTGTTCGGTTTGTTCTGCCATGCTCCCACTCAACTCAACACTTGTGTCTCCAGGGAAGTGCCTCCAGCATTGAAGCGCTTCAGAGAGGTCACTCCCGCAGCAGCCCTCTCCGCTCGCCCCACCCGCCCCTCCCATAAGCCCCGCACCAAGCGCCGCAAACGCTCCCTCGCCTCTCCCCTGCCACCTGCCATCCCACCGGCCACTGCTGCTACTGCTGCTGCCACAGGCAGGGCAGCGGGGGCAGTGAGCAGTGCGCAAGGGGGGGAGGGCGGCGGGAGGGAAGCAGGAGGGGTCGGGGACGGGGGAGGTGGGGAACAGTGCCGAGTCTTGCTGCTGGTTGTGGCGGTGGGGGGCAACGGGCTGAACGTGGTGGAGGCACAGCACGTGGTGTTTGTGGAGCCGGGGCTCAATGCGGCCGCTGAGGCGCAGGCTGCCAACCGCGTGCACCGCATCGGCCAGACCCGCCAGACCTTTGTGCACCGCTTCGTGGTGAGTTATGTGCACCGCATCGGCCAGACCCGCCAGACCTTTGTGCACCGCTTCGTGGTGAGTTATGTGCACTGCATCGGCCAGACCCGCCAGACCTTTGTACACCGCTTCGTGGTGAGTTATGTGCACCGCATCGGCCAGACCTTTGTGCACCGCTTCGTGGTGAGTTATGTGCACCGCATCGGCCAGACCCGCCAGACCTTTGTGCACCGCTTCGTGGTGAGTTATGTGCACCGCATCGGCCAGACCCGCCAGATCTTTGTGCACCGCTTCGTGGTGAGTTATGTGCACCGCATCGGCCAGACCCACCAGACCTTTGTGCACCGCTTCGTGGTGAGTTATGTGCACCGCATCGGCCAGACCCGACCCACCTTCCTTCACCGCTTCATTGTGAGTGGGTGATGTGCTGTCACGCATGCAGTGCAGTGAGGTGTGGAATGTGATTGTGCTTGATAGCATGCACACCTGCGTGACTTGTCTCATAGCACCAGGTGCCTGAATCGATAGATTACCACATGGGATAGCACGTGCTACGGTGCAGAGAGCACCACAATCCTCCTCGTCTGTGTAACTTCATTTTTGTAACCCCCGAAAACAGATCCATCCTCCTCCGTTCCCCCTTGTGTTCCGCCCACTGCTTGCAAGTGCAGGCAGGCACGGAGGGGAATGTCGTTCAAATGTGACTTTCAGGTCGTCTCAACAATCAAAGGTCAAAGGCTGGCTTTACTTCCCCTCCTCTCCCCTCCTTGTCTCTCCTTCCCCCCCCCCTCCCCCCCCCCCCCCCCCCCTTCACTGCCTGCAGGTGCAGGGCATGGTGGAGCAGCCGATTCACAAGGTGGCGTTTGAGGCGAGTCAAGAGTCAACTGCTTGTCTTTGCATGAATCCGTTGCACTTATCTCATCTCTGCATGCCTGCAGGTGCATGGCACGGTGGAGGAGCCCATTCACGCCCTCGCGCGCTCCAAAGCCGCTGCTGCCCCCCTCTCTGCCGCCCACGCTGCCGCCAACCTGCTGTCCTGCCGGGACCGTGACTCGCTCACCCTTGCTGACGTCACCGCTCTCTTCCCCCAGGCCTGCCTTCCTGGAGAAGGCAGGGAGGCGCAGGAACGGGTGGTGGCGATGAGGGGTGGAGCAGAGGGGGATGCAGGCAGGGAGGACGGTGAGAGGCTTGCCCTGGCTACTGCTGCTGCTGCAGAAGCACGGATGCAAAAACAACCAGAGTGACAAGTATTGTGGCTCATGTATGCGTAAGGTTTTCCTTCTTCTTCAAGCACAACAAATAATGGATTGCTTGTACACCACATTGAGGGAATGCTTTCTCAATCAGTTGGGGACATGAGGCTCCAAACCATATTCGATTGGTAGGCGCCACACAATCTCACAAGAGTAAAGTGTGCATGCCAATCCCCCATTCCTTGGGCCTTGCCCCTCCGTCATGATCATTCCATCCCTATCGCCTTCCCACATCCCATTCAGCCTCCCCTTCTCCCCGTTTGCCTCTCCCCATCCATATCACTTCCCATCCCGTCCGTTCCCCCTGGTTTTGTTCATCCATGTGAGCCGACCGTTCACCCCAGCCCATCCCGCTGATCACCTCCTGGGTCCAAGCTCTTTCTTTTGTTCTCACACTGGATGCCTGGGTCCATCTGGCCACTGTTGGCCTGTTCATTTTCTTTGGTTCTTCTTGATACCTGGCGGTTGTACTGTACACCTCAACACGTTTCCTCCTTTGGTGTTCATGTAGTGTAAATCGCATCACATAAAAACATGACAGAGTATAAAACCTGTTACAGAAACGATGACCGTGCAAGAAAACAAAGAGCAAGCAGCTGCAACACTTACAAAAAAAAACCGAGTGCAATAAGCGACATTACCACCATAGATTTCATGCCTATTCGCCTGCGTCTCCTAGGCTGGCTGGACTTTTATTCACTCCCTTCAGCCATCATGGTAGCTGCAATTGTGGTGCGCCACACTTCAGCGCGATTGCATTACTACTACCGTGGCGTCTCGGCGGGGACACCCGTTCCAAACTAGAAGTTGGTATCGCTGCCGTAGATCTCTCCAGCGCGCCAGTTGCTCGGAATGACGCCCTTCAGCACCACCTGCTTGCCGCCCGTTGAAGTCACGCGCACGCTCACCCTGCCCCCCGATTTCACGATGTCCTTGGCGGATGACTGCTCCCACGTGGCCCCATCTTTCCTATTCATGCCCTTCCACGAGCCGCTGCCTTCCTTCGCTATCTCCACCGCCTTCACGCCTTCTTTCTTCGCCGCTCCGAAAATCTGAAGGGCGAAACTGTCCGGATTGGCATACGGCAAGAGTCTAACGCCCATGTTGACGCCTCGAGGGCAGTCCACGGGTTTGTATGTAACCTCCATTTGGCCCCACGGGTTGAGGGAGATTACGTTCCACGCAGGAGTGTTGAGGCCGATGCGATCATCGCCGCCGCTGGGACCGATCGCTCGCACTGTCACTTTGCCGCCATTGCAGCTCGAGCCACGCCGGTTCTTACACGTAACCTCGTAGCACGAACCGCAGCCCTGGCCGCCGTTGAAGATCTTGCGTGGCACCTGCGCAACCAAGCCGTTGTCGAAATCATCTCAAAAATGCTGAACCGTCTGTTAACGGTGGTGGCGATATTTCGAATATCACAGGCTTTGGGGAGGGGGTGTAAACTTCTATCCACAGGCTGATGTGGCAAATGCTCGTTTTTGGTTGTGTTTTGCCTGTTTTTCACTTGTGTTTGGCAGGGAATCAGCCGTGGCAGCGTAGGATATCGTGTCGCGCTCCTTGACATTTCACATCAACGGCCTAAACTCCAACTTTTTTTCGTGCGGTCGAGCGATTTCGATTTGGCGTAATGTTGTCGTTGTAATCGGAACTAGTCAATGACTACAATTTTTTGGGGAAACCCCAGTGTTTGCAATTAGGAAACGTGGCATTTTTTTCGCGAGGGAAGATTTTGTGACGCACGTGTCTGGTGTTTGCAAGAACGTGGTCATAAACAGCCGTTTCTAGAGTACGTAAGCAAGCAGGTGTGTGTCACGGTTCTTGAAATCTCGTGACGCCTTGGTCATACGAAGTCAAAACGCACTGTAATATTTGAAGGAAGTGCGTGGTTTCTTCCTATTGGTCGCGTCAAATCCGGTTCTCCAAACAGCACTTTTTCGCTGGCCAATATTTCGCAACGACCGTATTGGCTAACGGGAATGTCGCAACGTCACTCGAAGTTCAAAATTCGCGAAGTGTAAAATTCGCGATGCGATTTGAAATGTGTGAGTGAAATGCGTGGCTCGTTAGTGCACGTCCTTTTTTCCTCGGGGGGAATGCGGTGCAATACGACGCTGCACGATTTTAAACGCTTTAATAAACAACTAGTTCGGTTACGATGGGTATCGATTGAGAATGATACTAGAATGACGCGCCCTAATGCACACCCCTTCGAATTGAACCTGAATCTCAGCACATCTCACGACAACTATGTGTTCACGCGCTTCACATCACCTCAACCAGGGGGGTATTGTCAAAATTATATTTATTATAACTGCATGTAGTTCTAGCAGTAGTGTAGTTATTTAAACTTTGTATTGGTGGTGCACCTTATGTGTTTCCTTTGCTATATGTACTTCAAAACTATAGTGAAGCTCCTCATTCTCCCAACTTTTTCTCAACTCACTCGAACTCCTACCTAGGCACAAAACCGCTCGACACCTAAAGCTCGGGCCTAGGCTACTAAGCCTAGGCCCCACCTTTATACCTCTCAACTTACCCATTCTTATTACTCTCGACATGTTATCGGAGCTGAGTTCGTCCTGGCCTGTGGGCCCGCTTTACACTTCCGCTGCTAATATTTTCCGGTCGCGCGCCTAGGGCGCGTGACGATTTTATTTTTACCTTGTCCCGCCCACGGGCGTGTGACTCCTTCCCTGCCCGTCGCGCGCCCCGTGGCACGTGACGGTGCCCTTCAACTGCCCATCGTGCGCCCCGTGGCACACGATGGTGCCCTGCTCGTCGTGTGCCCCGAGGCACACGATCGGGCCCTTTTATTCTACCCGTCGTGCGCCCCGTGGCACTGGCCCGCTACGGGCCTTCTTTCCGCCCCTGCACTCCCTGAAGCCGCCCCTGACCCATCTGCACCGACACCTCTTCGCCGCTCTGCGGCTTTCTTCCTTCCCACCCCCCTTCTTCCTTTGCCTCCCTGCAGCCGTGGGGAGGAGGGTATGGGGGTGGAGGGTGTTGGAGTGTGGCGTCACCTCTCTCCCTTCCCCTCCTCCTTCTTTCAGTCCCACCGCTGCAGCTGCCGCTGGGGGAGGAGGGTGTGAGGATGTTGGGGAGCAGGGGGAGTGGTATCGGGGTGGTGGGTGTGAGGCAACAAGCAGCCGTCCCTCCACCTCTCCTCTCTTCCCCCTTTCTCTGCTGCTTCTGCAGCAGTGTGGGGGAGGGGAAGGGGGAGGGTGAGGAGATGGAGGGGGTGTACCTGCTGTTGCTTGTTTTATTGTTCGTTGGTGTACCTCTGCAGGTTGTGCTCTGCACTTAGCTATTCTTGCATGCAGTTACGGGGGGATGTCAAAATTATATTTATTATAACTGCATGTAGTTCTAGCAGTAGTGTAGTTATTTAAACTTTGTATTGGTGGTGCACCTTATGTGTTTCCTTTGCTATGTGTACTTCAAAACTATAGTGAAGCTCCTCATTCTCCCAACTTTTTCTCAACTCACTCGAACTCCTACCTAGGCACAAAACCGCTCGACACCTAAAGCTCGGGCCTAGGCTACTAAGCCTAGGCCCCACCTTTCTACCTCTCAACTTACCCATTCTTATTACTCTCGACAGGTATAATATTGATGCAAATCACTCATGCTTTGTTTTTTTTTTTGCCTTCAGTACACAGAAATTAGTCCTGCATCCGCCACTATGGAATGCCCAGACTGTAGTTCGGGGCCTTTCTACGTGTATTCTGCTCTAGAATCGCATAGAGGTAGTGCGGCTTGCAGAATAGCTGCTGCATCCAGAGGCGCAGAGGCGTCAGATTCCCCACCAATCCAACCCCCCGCTCAACGTCGGCACGTGTGGAGTCCTTCCAGCAGTGAAAACGTATTCGTACCACCTACGTTTGATGAGCCAGCCGATGAGGACGGTGTGGAAGCGGCAGCCGCTCGTGCCGCCGATGATCCGGAGGCATTAATGGCACGCATGAGTGACTCGAATGGGATAGCGGAAGTTTCTCAGATTCCCAACGGATATAATCCGCGCCCCGCAGCTCCATTCTCCTTCAAGGACGAATTGGGACGCTGGATTCTCCAAGAGCGTATATCTCAACGTTCGGTAGCTAGATTATTTAAGATTCTTAGCCATGAAGGCGCGTCGTGGGCGGACGTTGCGGAATGGAGATCTTCGCGAGATGTGTACCGACATGTGCAATCGAGAGTGGTTGACTGTGACCGTTCGTGGAAGAAGGGGGTTACTTGCGTTGGAACAAAGGCATTTTTGACCTTTTGGTACTGTGATAGCTTGAAGGTATGTTGGAGTGTTTGCTCATGTTTTTTTCAGCGCCCCACTAATCCCTCCTTCCGACATGGCTAAACATTTGCTGGCCCTACAAGATCTGTTGAGTGAACCGAGACTTAGCCATCCGCTTGTTACACGTGCGCATAGAAAGAGAGTGAGGGGCGTGAGGGTGTATGACGCCCCCGAAACCGGCAATTTTTGGAACGACGTGCAAGTGAGTGCCTCCCCATTCTTCTATGCACCTATCCCTGACCGTTCATCAAGTTTCCAGCACACCCCCTCTCTCCCTGCTCCCCATTCGGCTATGCCAGCCTCCCTACCTCTCTCTCACCATCGTGTTTTTTTTCCAGCACACTACATCTCTCCCTGCTATCCATTCTGCGATTCCTGGCTCTCCCTACCTCTCCCTCACCATCCTGATGCATTTCCAGCACATCCTCTCTCTCCCGGCTATGCCCGCCTTTCCCAACCTCTCTCTCACCGTCCTCATTGTTTTTCAGCACACCCACACTCTCCCTTACTCCCATTCTGCTATGCACCTCTCCCTGACCGTCCTAAATTCTTCACGCATACCCTCCCTCTCCCTGCTCCCCGTTCTGCTATAACAGGCTCACCCAACTTCTCCTTAACCATCCTAAAATTTTCCAGCACACCACGTCTCTCCCTGTCCTGATTCTACTATGCCCGCCTCTCCCACCCTCTCCCTCACCGT